TAAATTCCACATTAAGTTCCCTGTAGCAAATAGGATTGTTTCCTTAGAAACCCCGAGCAGTTTCACCCTGTGAGATGCATAAGCTTAATAAAATCACAGAAGTTAGAGAGGAAAAGAGCTTTATTACATGATTTAGTGCTAAAACCCTTGTCATCCCTGGCCTGAGCAGGATTATTCCTTACAGTATTCTTGCCATAGATATACTCAGTTTAATTCAAACAAGGCAGCTTTCACCCTTTTTTTAAGGTGATAATCCCTCAAGGCCACCTTCTTACAATACAGGTATTTTCAAGGAAGGTGAGTAAGCACTGGGCAAACCATGGTTAAGAAATTCATAAAGTGATCTGGAGGAGAGGCAGGAATTAAATGACGTGTGTTGAGGGGGAGCAGATTTCTCTGTCATGGCCCACCACTCCAAAGCACAGTAACAGGTCTGATGGCAGCAGCAGTCTCTGCCCTATCTCCCTACCACTTCAGAGGAAGAGGGCCTGAGATGCCTGAGAACATTCTCCTTTCTATTGGCATCATGCTGCAGCTCAAATGCTTCATGCTACGTGTGGAAAAAATGCTTGACTAATTAACAGATTATGCTTTCTTAAATGGCATGGCAGCTTAAGTGACTAAAAGTGCTAACCTTTAATATACCCTATTTCCTTACTTCACAGATGAAGGAACAGGTGCTGCTCTCAGTGCCGCAGTGCCGTGCCAACGCAGACGCTGGCTTTGCATCTCATTCAGGGTATACAGTATCTTGTGTGGTGCCTGTCTCCTTGTATAACTTTCATGCATCACAGATACACCCCAGTTCAAACTGATTAATCCGGAGCCCTCTACAAGCATCTTATATGGAATTAAACTACATGTGTCTGTTCTCTGTTCTGTAAACCCTCAAGATTATTAAATGAACCTTGCCAATATGACAGATTGGCAGCCATCTAATCTTCCTTCTGCTTGGCCTTCAAGACAAACCCAGATGTAGAAGAGAGATGGCTGCCCTATGGTATTATATAAAACAGTCTCAGTTTCTAGTTTAAAATGCCCTTACATTCTAACAATGACCCTGTGTCCCAAGTTGATCACAGAACATGCAAAATCTAGTCATTCTTCCAATTCCTGCTGTTAATCTGAGGGCAGTGGGATTGTTGTCCACATCTAAGAGTCTTGGCCTTTTCTCTTGTTTTCACATTGTTTAGGTTGGCTTAACAACTGCTTGGAGTTAACAAGGGGAATTTTAAATAAAGCAGCAAACAAAAACAGTTCTGCATATTCCCATTCAGTGAAGTATCTAAACCTACAATTATTTCCATTGACTTCGGTGGAACTCCTTGCACCTTTAAAGATACACAGGATAGAACTGGGTTAGGGTATTCTGCATCTTCCTCCTGAAACTGTTGGACTGTGCAGAAAGGAATGCAAGATTTGGTGTGGGGGAAGTGTGTGCAAAGAGAAATGTAACTCTGTAGCTTAGTGGGTGGAGCACTCAGCTAGGAAGGGGAATCCTGGATTCTGATTACTGCTTCCTGAACTGTGCATTTTACATTAGTCATTGTATAGTACAGTGATCTCCAACCTTTTTAATTAGGAGATCATCTTTGGCATTTGAAAGCAACCTAAGATCTACTGTGTACTGCCACCATCCCCTCCCCTCCTGCCCCCCAGGTAAATCTGTAGGGAGGAAAGGGGAGGGGCAGATCGAGGCAGAGGGAAAAAAATATTTTGGGGCGCGCCTCCTCCACAGGTAAGTCCCACCCGACTGGGGCCCCACTTAATTTACCCCTGCTCCTGCCTCTGCAGCACTCTCTCTCGCCGCGGGGGCCTCAATCTAGTCCCTGCCCCTTCCCTCCCCCACGGATTGACCCGCTGCGCTGGAGCACATGCATGCATGCGGGCACTCAGACCCTCTCCCCAGCTCAGATCTACCGCAAGAGGTTCCAAGATCTACCGGTGGATCAAGATCACTAGTATAATGGAACAGTTGCCAATAGAAGGGTGAAATATGTCTCCACCTAATTTAGCCCATAGCCTGGTAGGCCAGAGTACTTGTCTGGCAGTAGGAGAAAATATGGATTTGAACCCTCTCAGACAGAGGAGGAGATAAGGGACACATTTACATCAGTGTAATTGTTTTTTACAGTAGTATAAAAAAGAAGTGGATAAATGCTGTACTGCCCTACACCATATAATTTACTCAAATCTGGTGTAGAATGATCTTGAGAAAAATCAGGGTAAACTACATCAGTGTAAGTTACATAACTGTATGTACTGTGCGTCTGCAGCTTACCCTGGGGTAATTTTTCTCAAGGGAAACTGGCTTCTATGCTACTCTGTCACTACTGGCAGGGAACTGTATTATTGCCTGCTGCAAGCAGTTACTTGAAGAGAGTTGGTTATCTGTCCACTCTGGATCCTAGTGTAATTTACAAGTATACAAAACTAATGCATAGTAATCAAAATATCTCCAGTGCTCTGTGTTTCCTATTAGCCAGATATATGAATCTCCCGGCTCAGGGTGTGAGGTTTTTGGACCACTCTTCTGAGCTACCTAACTCTCCCCATAAACTGTGCATGGAATCTAGGTACCTAATCCTGGGTTCCAGTTTGGAGCCAACATCTTCAAGGTTAGGCTTTGTGGTGTCAAGCTCATATCTGCTTACGTCCCTTATTTGATTTAGTGCCTAATTCTAAATTAGTATATTTTTTAAAAGGCAGTTGGAAATGTCTTTATTATTTTAATTTAGATATTTTTTCCTGCCACATGTGGAATCCAACCACTGCATCTCTTTACTTGTAAATGGAATTCATAAGGGGAACTATCCAGTATAGCAGAGCTTCAGTATCCAGGATGAGTGATGTACAAACGTAACTATTCCATCTGTCCAGTGAAAACTGATGCTTTCTGGGAAAATACTGAATCTTGATCTTGACATGAGTAAAAGCAGCTATTTTTACATTTAGTTACTAGATGTGTTTATAAATTTTAAGTCTATCTTAGCCTAGTATTTTTAAAGCCCTGCAGTTTCTCTTTAAAAGAGGGCCACACTATTCGTGTGTCTTCCAGGTAAACTTAGGTATATTCCAGTAATACATATACAGGTCACATTATGGTAAATGATAGGCAGAAATAAATGTAGACATATAATTTGTTGTTCAGCACTGTTTTATGTCCAAGTTGGAGACTAATTCTTCCTCCCTGAGCCAAGTCATTTTGAATGTGATCAGTTTTAGTTCCCCTCCATTTAATGCCCTGAGGCTCATCTTTCCATCTCAAATTAATGTGAAAACCAAAATAACCATCTTGTTTCATCCTCAGTGTGATGAACAGGAAAATAGCTATCTTGTTTTTTCTGAATATTATTTGTGGTTTGGTTTCCCTGGTCAATTTTGTACCACTTCCTCCTTAAATGCAAACATTTAAGGCAGCTTGGAAACAAGGTTTGAACTAGACAGGAAATGAAACAAAAGCTTTGGGCTTACCTACACAAACAAGTAACCTGGAAGAACCTAAATGTGGAACAGCTATTCTGCCCTAGCTCACTTCATAGATGTTCTTATTCTACACTTAGACTGCAGGGCCTTAGAGTTTAGCTCAGTCCACCTTGGGAAGTTACTGTAGAATAAATTGTGCTTTAAAAGTACGCCCTCGCTATTTCACAACTCCCCTGCATAGACCAGCCCTAAGAGGAAAGACAGCTTCAGGTACACACCTTCAAAACAGCTGAGGGTAATAGGATCAACAGGGATGCTATCTTCAGTATTCAGTAAGAGTGTTAGGTCTTGCCTTGCCCTAAAAAAAAAAAAATCAGAAGGCCCAGTTAGTTTTAAAAAAAACACCCTTGAAGAAACGTGAGAAGGTTATACTCAGTGTTTACACTTTGACTGTATTTTTAAGGGGCAGAGGGACTAGGACAGAGATAGACTTTCACTCTAAATCACCTGTTCCAATCTGGCCCCTCCTCAGTAGTGACTGAAAATGAAAATAATTATCAGAGTGGCTCTGTATCAACATGTGCAAAACTTCAGTGTGGCTAGTCCTGGATGAGCACCCTTGTGGTGGAAGACTAACTGGGCTACTGAAATGGAACTCTTTTGTCGTTCCTCATGTCAAGCCTGGGGAGGGTCAAGGAGGTGTTTATTGGCGAAAAAGCTGTTGTGCCCAAAGCTCTCATGCAAGCAGACAGAAATTAAGTGAACAGAGCAGCCAGTATGGTTTCCATTACTAACACCCCAAAGAAAATTAACATAAACTGTTTCCTGTGCCTTTGAAAAGAATTAGTTGAGGTGAAAGCTGCAGTCTGGGGTTTGAGGCCAGATGAGATAATGGGGAAGATAAGGGTGTTGGTTGTAGCCGTTTTAGTCTAAGGACATAGGCAGACAAGGTTCTTTGGGTAAATGTGATATCTTTTATTAGACCAACTAAATAGTTGGAAAAATTATTCTTTGCAAGCTTTCAGGTACAAACACCCTTTGTCAGGCAGAGGGAAGTGTCTGCATCTGGGGGAAAAGATGTATTGGTGATTGACAGCAAGTGGGCTGAAAAGTATTAAGTGAATGGCTGATGACTTTCTCTCTTTTTCCCCCACTCCACACAGGGAAACAGCTGGATGGCATCTGGTAAGTCACTAGATTTAATGTGCGTTAGATACTGAGCAGTATGGGAAGCATTTCCAACAGGACATCATTACATATGCTTCAGCCATTAAGAAATTGTTCTGATGCTGCAGAGAGTGTTTCTGAATGTTTTTAAGGTTCCTGGAAAACAAACTAATTTAGGGCAGACATGGTGTAGGCAAGTACTGTTCAAATCTCTTTGAGCTCTTGCTGATGGACCCGAGTACAAAAAATATTAAAAACAGTTGCATTTTATTGCAGTATCACCCAAAGCTTGTTGACCCTTTCAAACATAGGGTGCGGTCTCTTTTTTTTTTTTTAAGCAGCTCTACTTCTAGCTGCAGACTTGCCAACACACAAGAGTAGGTGGGGAAGTAGGTGGGTGAAAGACAAGGCTTACAAATAAGGTCACATTGTTACTTACTAATGCATGCTTTCTGATACAAAACAGCACTACCCCCAACTTGTTAAAATTCCCACCTCCAGTAAAGTGCCCACTTAGCTGTCCTCTGCTGCCCTGCCAGTGGGCTCAGCCTCCACTCGCTGTCCCATGTTTGTATCCATTTCCGACCATCCAGCCACTCTCTCTTCTCTGCGTACTGGGGTAGTTCATGCTCCAGGCTCTCCCAGTTTCTGATTCCCTGAGGGGACTGGTCCCACAGCTGGGAGTTCTTCTGCCCATCTGGCTGGAGGAGGGAGGCCACAGAGGACCTTGTGTTCTGGCGGGGAGGGGTCTTCCTCCTGTCACCCTTTTTAATGTCTCAGATGTGGCTCAACCACATAATCTCCCACCTATCTGTAGTCTGGCACAAGGCTTGATATTCAGGTGGACCATTTTTATGTTAACATCCCAGCAGACACTGGGATATTAGAATATGATCATAGGAAGGCCATGATCTTTTCTTGAGTCTTGCTACAGTTGTTTGCCTTAGTAACATCCTTAAGTAATAATTGCTGTGGATGATATTTATGCTGAGTAACCCATTTCCTCCTCTCTACATGGCTTATGGCCCTCCCATGACAGGCATACCTCCATAATTGTCCATAAGGATGAATTCTTCTATGGCAGTGGTGGAATTTCCAGCTGTGCACCTGTAAGTTCAGCTTTCCTAAAACTTAATTTTTTCAAGCTCTATTTCCCAAATAAATCCTATTAGTCTGCAAGAAATTATTTCTGTAATCAGGAGAACCTTGCATCTCTGCCCTCTAGAAAAGCAGGAGGTAAAGTGTGTTTAGTCTGAACAGTTTTCAGAATGCAGCCAGGTGAAGTTCTGTTTACCACAGGGACTGGTCACCTCAGGGGGAAAAGGGAAGCTTTTACTAATGATATATATACAGCTAGAAGTTAAAGTTTGTTCCAGCCAGCATTCCAAAGAAATTGTAGGGCTTCCTGCCACTCAGAGTTCAAGAGGGTAAACGCTTTCTGTTACTGAGCTACCTATAGGCAGCCTTGGCTGGTCTTAAATTGAAAGGCTTTTTAATGCTCTGACTTTAATGACTCAAGATACGTAAAAATATGTTCATGCCTTGACATTCCTTCCAGTTCTTGAGTCCAAGCCCAGGCCGTCCTAAACAGAAGTTAGCCACATGTCAGAGGCACAGTGTGGAAAGCATAGACCAAGTGGCAGTATAAGCCACATGAACTCTGTTATTTCATTGTCTAAATGGGGAGTGAAAGGAACAGCAGGGCTTCTCTCAAGCTGACAGTCTAAATTCCTTTCTCTGATCCTAGGCAAACAATGACGGCTGGAATGGCATTATGGACAGTAGGAAATTGCCAGCCTCTAAGTGAATCCATTCTGTCCATTTAGCTTATTTTCTTGGTTTTCAATTTTACAGGGAGGAACGCTGCTTGGCCCCCCAGACTCAGTTGTGGACCTAGGAAACACTGAAGTTACAGAAGAAATTTTCCTGGAATACTTGTCCTCGTTGGGGGAATCGATGTTCCGGTGAGCATTAGCTTTTTTAAATACTTTCTTGGCATAGAGATGCTATATGGTAGAGAAAGGTGGGCTGGGGAACCCTGGGACCAATTCCACCAATACAAAACTTTATCTGCCCAAAAACCTGTTTGGTATTAGTCAAACATTGGGGCTAGATCTAGCATGTTGGCAAGTAATAAACTGCAAGCTATACAACAGTCCAATGAACCTAGACCTTTGGCTAGACTTTACAAAGCATTCTGCCAGGAAACCTGCAGTGCCAATACTTGACAGCAAAACAGGGTCATAATGCCTTGGTGAGAGGATCTCTAGGGAAAATGCACATGGCGTAGGAAACGGTATTTCATTAGCACGTGGTCTTTCCTGAGAATCAGTACTGAAATGTTGCAATAATACATAAACTTGAGATCCTGATGCCACTTGTGTTTGTTAGAGATCCTAGTACACATTTCACAAGAGTAGGAAACATAATACCTGGTGTTCTTGATAAATTCCAAGTTTTGTAATTCATCTGATCTCGTAGCCCATCTGTAGTTTCAGTTGAAGAAACTGGTCCGCACTTCCCCTCCAAAAGACTGTTTTGTAGTATCAGTCTTCTACCCCCACCTCCGCTGAATGTGTAGGTGAACTGACTAATGTATGTTGCTTAAAGAGCCATGCATTCTTTGGGATGCAAGGTGCTTTTCTAAGGGGTTATTTCTCATTATTGATCCGAGTTCTTTTCCTAGCTATGGCTGAGTCTCTCTCTTCTGTTTTTAACTCCTCCTCCTGGGCACAGAGGAGAGTCTTATAATCTCTTTGAACATAACTGCAATACCTTCAGTAACGAAGTGGCACAGTTCCTGACGGGAAAGAAGATCCCTTCCTACATCACCGACCTTCCATCCGAAGTCCTTGCCACGTGAGTTTGGTTTCTTTTTATAAAAGGAGCACACTGTGTCTTGCTAATGTCTAAATGTTTGTTGCCAGAACAGATAAGGAGGAGACTGACATCTGTTCTATTTTATGAGATTAGGAAGATGCTACTTGTTAAACTTTAACATACATGTGTAATGACAGTCTCTGTACTGCACACACCAGGTACAATTGTACCTAAAGAAAGGGTAGAATGTTTTCTCTTTCCACCCTCAGCAAACTTAAAAACAGTTGATTCCCTGTGAATTTGTCTCACTTGGCAAGAGGAAGAGAGGAGGGATGAGAGTGCTTCTAGGTGTACTGTTCCAGGACACTAATACCTTTTTTAAACTTCTGTAGGCTGGGCCTTAGCTCAGGATAGAGCCCAGCAATGCTTAAATCCCCATTTCTGTCCTACTGTAATGGACTCTGGCTTTCCTTAGAGGAGGGCAAAGGGAGGTGAAACTTTGAAGTTGCTCTTGAAACATAAAAGTTATGGTTGATTGGAAGCATTTGGAAAGGAGGGCATGAGAGAAAGTCCTCTCACATTCTATTTCATCAGATTGGAGTTTGGAGACTAACCCAGGCTCCCTTGGTGCATACCCTGAGTTGAGGCGGTGAGAGAACTGCAGTCAGATGCTTGGGGAGCCACTTCCTTAACAGCTCACATAACACTACCCATCTTGGGATGTGCAATACCAATTGATAGGCAAGTTTTTCCAGTCTTGGGAAATCATCTCCTTAGATTTCAAAAGCCTGGTGAAGTCAGACATGGCATCTTGAATGGAAAACTTTCAAAGAGAATCCAGATGCTGTAGAATTAAAATAGGAATTAGTCTTTGATCATTTCATCTGACAGAACAGCCACTTGCACCTTTGCGAGATGTTGGTTTAATGCTCAAACTGGGTCTTGGGCTACTCATGACTATTCAAGACCCCATGCCCTTTCCCTTTTCTAATACACAAAGGTTTCTATTTTATGTTATAGCATTTCTGGCCAAGTTCAAACTTGACCTTCTTCCTCCCTGATTTTCATCCTAACAGCTTCAGTTGGAAACACTATTACTTCTCTGTTTAAAATTATTCATATGATACCTCATGGAAAACTGCATTGCAAAATGAAATTCTGATCTTATATCTAGCTCAAGTAAGTTACTGGAAGTTTCAAACAAGGTATCGCCACCATGCTAGTATTGTATGTTAGATCTAGAGCTGGCTCACCTGAAATCAAGTTTGTACAGACATTCCTAGTTAACTTCTATTCCAAGAAGTGGCTGAGTTTCAGGAGGGCACAAGAAAATCTTGTGAATATCTTTTGAGCACTTGAAGATCTAGGTCTTATTTTTTTGCCTCCTCAGACCCTTTGGACAAGCTTTGAGGCCTCTCCTGGATTCCATCCAGATCCAGCCACCGGGCGGGAACACTTTCAGCAGACACAACGGACAAAGCTAACAGGAGTGGAGGGGTGTGCCCCACCTCACCAGGGCTTCCCCTTTTTAAACACAAATCTACCAGATTTCTATTTTATAATTTCACATCAGAATTAACTCAAAGAAAGCAACAAGATGGTTTTTTAGACTTTGTAGGTGGAGGATTTATCAGGTTGCATGTAAAATGCTACCAAAAAGGTTGTCATCATTTGATAGCATTATACTAATTTATTAAGGCTGTCTTGTCCAAGCACACTGATGCTTTCTAAGTAGCACCCAAGCTAGTGAAGGGGATTTAATTCTATGAAAACTTGAGGACCTGCCACAAAGTTGGGAATACCCACAGGGAAGCACTGAGTTATAAAGCCTAACCATCCCTTAGCAGACTACATCTTTTTTTCCCCACTGCCCATAATATGGAGCATCTACTGCATCCATGATGGGAAAAAACAGTGAGTTTTATAACCCTAGAGTGAGGGCCCACCAGTATTAAAGCCTTCTGAGTAAGTATTAATTTAATGTTGTGTTGTTTGCTCCATGCAGAAGTTGACCTAACCTGGTCAGAACATGTCTAGGAGCATGGTTCCAGGGGAGGAATGTCCTGACTGAATTAGCTGCTCACTTATCAGTGATGCTTTTTTGTTACAACCTTCTATGCAGTTGGGTGCGAGTGGGAGAGCATCTACTGCAGAGGCTCACCAGGAACAGACAGGAGGATACTCAAAAGGGGATACTCACAGATCATCATCCCCTTAAATGAGAAGGGAGAAAAACCGCAGTCGAGTAAGAACAAAATGCAATAAAACTTTTCCTTCTCCCCAAGCTCATCAGTGCAGGTACAAAACCCTTGTAACTTTTGCATGGGAGCTGATGAATCAGTGTTGCATGTGCATTAAGGCAAGAATAGCATGGCAGCTGCATAACAACATGTGGGCTGTGGGCTCAGCCTTCAGCATCTAATTACAGTCACAAAATAGGCAGTAAAAGTCCCAGCCTTGTCTGATATCACAATCCTTTACATGATAGTGGAATCAGAGAGGAGTCTGATTAAGTGCAGGCAGGGAGTAGATATCAGGTAAGCTGTCCAGAAGCAGCTCTCTAGTCTCCATGCAGATTTCCCCAAATTTAAAGGGGAAAAAAAGCAAAGCTGAAGCAGCTGTTTCTAAATCCTATTTTTTCCCTTTTTTTCCAGTGGGTGTCAAAGATATTCAGGGGCTATTGCTGGGAGTGAGCAAGGCTGAGCAGAGATCCAACAGTTGTGTCAGGACTTCATCCTCTGACTAAAGATTACTATAGCCTTTTACAAATCTTCTTAGGGGAAGGAGGTGATGGAGAGGAAGGAGATAAACCAGAGTACTGGTATCTGCTGTTTCTAGTTTAGGAGTGCTTTTTCCCTCCAGCAGTTGGAGTTAGGAAAGACAACGTGAGACGGACTTTTCCATGTGCCTTGTGCAAGGGAAGTCTTATGACCTGCCTCTCAATCTCTAATTGCACCAAGTGCACTGAAAACCTCCCAGGATATTAAAACAAGCGTGTCCTTTCTTTGCTAGGCTCCTTCTCCCCTTGACAACTATTCCAAAAAGATGTATATTAGGAACCTCTCTCTCTCAGCTTTATTCAGTAAGGCCTCCCAAGTAGCTCCCAAGAGTTTGAGGGTGGAAGAGAAGGATGACCTGGTTTCTTCCAGGTGTGTGCAATTCCCCATTGCCCTGGTGTAGCCCCTAGTGCACATGCAAAGAGTCAAATGCCTTCATTTGATTTGGCAGCATTTTACATCCTTTTTGCACAGCTGCAAGTAATTCTTCCAGGACTAGGGCAGTGGTCAGGGTAGCCCAGAATGTCTTTGATTATTTTATCTGCTTGTGCCATCGCAGACCTCTGCAGAAGCCTTTCACTGTAAGAGATTTGCCTCTAGGTTGGAGAAAACATAAGCAGTAGGAACCCAATGGCCTTAGGATCTGGCCTTGCTTTGTTACACAAATTTGTAGCCGGCAGAAAGTGCATAGTATGCAGAAACTGTTGTAAAGTAAGTGCTATCAGACCCCTTCTCTCTTCCTAATCCAGAGGCACTAATAGGCCTTTGCCTTCCACTAAGGAAGGTATAGCTCAGTTTTCATGTGCTGTGTATGTCCTGTCCTTCCTCATTCTGTTGTGTAACTCAGGACAAACCTGTAACCTAGCTTTGTATCTTTAGGGAGACAGTGGTCCTGAACCAGGTGTCTACTTGACTGCCCCTGCCAATTTCAGGACTTTTTACAACTTTTCTGGGAAGGAGGGGAGAAGATGAATGGCTTCTCCTTCTATGTTTTGGAATCTGCCCTTTTTCCCTAGAATCTCAGTACAGAAATAATGCTGCTATGTGAATTACTTGGCAAAATTTTACTCAACTATACTGTGTTGCAATAACAATGCACCTCAGATGGGGAATTCCCCAAAGGGTCATCTCTGTTTAAGACTTAACTCTGGGTTGCACAGCAAATGGACTCTATGAAAAAGAGTCCTCTGCTCTTAACAAATGCAGTTGAATAGTGAGTGCTCACATTCTGTATGCCTTTTAGAAACCCACCCCTTCAAAAGACGGTTATGCATAAGTTGCAGAAACATATACTGAGCATTCCACCCAACCACTCTTATTTATAGGTATATAAAATAGATCGAGATAAATATGTAGTGTATATAATGAAATGCTTCTGCTAGTTGACTGACAAAGGGACAGGGAAACTGAACTTGTTCTCTTGGAAAAGAACAGAATCCCTTTGCCCCAAATCCTAGTTCTGTCTTGTATTGCTGGGGCTGCCCCATGCCATTTTTAAAACATGAATTAATAATGTTGTTAGGCAGAAAGTGATGTTTGGTTTATTCTGTTTTTTTTCTATTACAATAAACAGAATTCCACCAGTGTTGTATATTTGTTCCTGTGTCTGCACAGTTGCCATATTAGAGGCCCTTCTGCTTCAGTCAGGTACCAGTGGTCTAGCCCCAGCAAGATGCAGACTGGAAGAATGCCCCAGGTTGTGCTGTTTCATATTACAGAATGAAGTGGTGGCTGCCTCACACTGCTTATGACTTGCAAGATCACAGTGTATGTGGAAGTACATTAGGGAGATTTCCTGGGGACTGAGTGCAGCTCTAAGGGGCCTGTTACTGTGCTGAACAATGGGTGAACTGAGTTAGGTGGTCTTCCCTCACTTGAGGATAAGATTCCTTCATACTGCTCCCTGCAGGTGGATGGTAAAAAATGAAACCTGATATCTCTTGGTAATGGAGGAGTACCACTTAGTTCAAATACAATGGATGACAGTAGTTTGGGGAGGGTGGAAGTCTTAAATTGGAAAGTCTATAAGCCCTTCTCAGTGCTCTTTGTGTTTCAACTACTACCCAAACACTATCGTGGGGAGGAGGGAAGATTCAACCAAATGGATGCTTAATGCCTGGCTTTCCCAGCAACTGCAAAGGAGAGATTGCATGAGGTACCCAGCTGCTCTTAATCTGTCCATTTCTGAACTCTGTCAACATGGCTTTCCTGAGAAATATTCCAGTCCAGTCGTAGTTAATCACCTCAACCATCTGAGTGTAAACAGGTTATTAAAGTTGGGATCTCTTTGCATGATCTTGTACCACATCTTTATCCAAGTGACAACCCAAGCTCCCAATCTCTTTTACTGCTATGAAGCTGGATTCTGTCACTAAATGTAGAGGGCAGAACATTTCAAATGGTGGTTGTTGCACTTGAACAGAGGGGTCAGGATTGCAGCCATGGTAGAGGGTACCTTGTTAACAGAGGTGGATTGTTGCATGGAAGGGCTGGTTTCATGTTGGCCATCAACAGTTGTCTTGGGGAAAGTAGGTGTCTCTACAGCCAAGTGTTAAAACTGGATACAGCTATTGCCTCTGAGCATAACGCCCACACACACACAGTTACCTCCTATTCTAGCTACAAAGTATTGGCCCATGCCTGGAGTCTTGAAACACTTCTTTTATGCCAGCAGCAGCTGCTTTGGATCTAAGTGACAGTAGAGGGAATGTATCACAGAATCTCTCCCATGCAGTCGGAACAGGTGGTTTGGGAAGATCTGCAAAGTGTTGAGTAACATCAAGATGGCAAACTGTATGCCCAGGGCAGCTGCATGCTTAAAGCAAACTGGCTGTTACTGAGCAGAGTCAAAGAGATGCCTGGGCTCCCTGTGAATCCTCCAAAAGAGGTGTCCAAACACCAGATGGGAGCAATAGTGGGGATACAGGTTTTGAAAAGCACAACATACTAAATGCATTGCTGGAGCAACTCAACAAACAGAGAAAAGGTGATAGTGTCTGCTTTTACAAGCTCAAGAAACAAGAAGCTTAGCAAAATTTCAACCAGACTGTTACAAGAAGCTGCCACCAGGTGGCACTGCTATTACATCCCTGGTTATGCAACTCATTTTCTGTAAAGCACCTTTGGCCTCATTACAGTACTGCATAATCAGCATCATTAATATTCACTGGGAGATGGTGCCTGAGGGTTGTTACCAAGGGCTCTGGTGGCCTAGGTATAGGATGTGTTTTTCAGTGACCTCTGAGGGGCAGGCATTTGCAAGCAGGACCCTTCACTAGCCTCCTCTGAGATGCCAAGGAATAAACTGGTTGAGTTGACCTATAAGGGCAGACTTTTCCTATTAAGCCAAGAACCCAAACAGAATTACAGGTCTTCACATATGCCAAAATGCCACTGAAGTCCTCCACTCTACCAAGCCATGTACTTTCCATTTGTTCCAGGTTTTTAGGATAAACTCTATGTGAAAACCAGTTCCTTATCCTTCTATCATTATGTAGAGGGAGAAAGCATAGCTGTTTGAAACATGGGCTTACCCTCCAAAGGGCTCAGCCAGCACCTGGTGGGCTGCATTCTTACCTAAACTATCTGCAAAGGCAGGCTGGAGGTCAGCCCTTCCCCCTGAAAGCAAAGAGTGCAGGGAGAGCTGGGAAATGGAAGGCAGGGAGGAACTGGGGAGCACGTCCCCAGCTCTTCTGATCCTGTAAGAAAGCTGGGGTTTCACATGGGTTGAAGTAGGTTTGTTCTTTCACCTTTATTTGTTGCCCTCCTCTCCTCAGGGCTCTGCCATTACATTTAGCTTGTCTGAACATCTCTGGTTGGGACAATACCAGCTAAATACCAACTCACTGTGAGGAAGCCACAAAATATTTACTGAGATGTATACGTGTTGTGCCTCAGAAGGGAGAAAGTGGAGACCAGGGGACTACCCAGCTGTAAGCAGACAGAGAACAGCTTGGCTTCACTACTACAGATGCTTCGACGTATGGGCAAGCGAGCCCTCCTCAACTTTCAGATGGGACAGGAAGTCAAAAACAAGAACATCTTTCAAACTGAGAGCATGATTTGGAACCAGGCAAATGAAGATGAAGGTCAGCGCTGCTTTAACTGTCTATACAAGGATTCAAAGATCAGAGCTTGAAACCAGTTCCTTCCAATCATTCTGCTCCACATAAACATACAACATTTTGTTCAGCCTGCAGCTTAACACTGCAACCGGACCCTAGGCTGGTGAGGCATTCTTATTCAAAATTCAGTGTGCCCTCACAATGAATTAACAGTGACATCTAAACAAATCAGTCCATGGGTAAAATAGGCTCTATAAAGACAAGTTTGTTTCTAGATTGGCTTCTCAAACTGCAAAATGCATACCTAGGATTATGAAGCCAATTTGGAGCTGATAGGAGAGAGGAAGGACTGCAAAAGCAGAAGAGAAAGGGAAAATATGAGTGAAGAAAAAGGAAGAAAAAAAGAACAAGTCTGTAGTGCCTCACAGGTTACTGGTGAGGGTACAGTATGGTTCTAGTAACGTAAAATGTTACTTTATTATTCATAACATCGAATCAGAGAGGTGCATTTAAATATTACAAACAACATGTGGTATGTAACCCAAAAAGCTTGAGAACCACCATTACCAGTAATCACCCAGCTGTGCTCCAGCCATCCTAGACACAGTTTGCCAATGGCCCCACACCCAGGGAGTTCATACACATCCAAGAGCTAAGTCCAGACTTCCTGCCTCTCTCATATCTGGGTGATGGCAGAAACAGTACAGAAGAAACCATATATACCACAGAGACACCAATTGTGAGGGAAAAGAGTTTGCAGTGCATATCCAGGAAGACCAGACCACAGCATTTTACTCCCCAGCATGTGGGGAGAGGAGTTATCCTGGTACCTGACTGTCCCCCAGTTTGCAGCCCATTTTTACCACTCAGACCAAATAGGAAAATCACCCTTCTGAGGAAAAAAAATCAAGAGATCAGAGATTAAAGGGCACAAAGATGCCAAGAGGATTCATAGACTCATATATTGTTAGGGGCTGGAAAGGACCTTGCTGATCATCAGGTCCAGCCCCACCACTCTAGGCAGGAAGACAACTGGGGTTAAGTGACCCCAGCGAGGTGACTGTCTCATCACAAGGATGGTGGAGGGGAACAGACTGAATGACCTGGAAGTCTCCCATTCTATGCTGATGGCTGGAGCTGCCAAACTGCCCCATGTCTGTGCCCTTGTGGCTAATTCCTGCCCAAACTCACCTTCTAGAACCTCCTTACAGGAACAGCTGCCATTGTCCAGGGCACGGTGAAGGAGACCCAAGCCCAAGCACATCCATGGCACAGCCCCTGAATTTGTACAAAGATGGTAGAGGGTGTGTTTGTTTTGCACGCTCACTCCTTGGGTACACAGCAGCAGTGGGACTGCAGCTCAGCTGTGCAGGACAGTTAATGAAGTGCACTTGAAAGCTCCTGGGATTGGGTCTTTCCTGACTGCTAATTGCCAAGATGCTGTGGCTTTTTGTGAAGGGGCCACAACAAAAGATTAGTCCCTGCTTTCAGAGAGCTAACAACAAGCTCCAAGGGGGTTAGGGCTGCACCCTCACCACAGTCAGCCACACTGGGCCATCAAGGAGATGGTTCAGGAAAGCCCTCTTCTCTCCCACAAAAGGTACACAGGCCACACAGGGTGTCCATCAAAAAGGACATTCCAGTTTTCTGCTACTCTGTCCTCTACTGATACGAAACCCGATGTCTTTATGTCCTCTATTCTTCTCTTCAAGAGAAAGGCATCAGGTTTCGTAGAAGACGGAGGACAACCGGACTGTCCTCTATGATGGCCACCCTAAGGCCATACCCAGGAAGTGTGCCCACCAGATAGCTTAACCCAGACATCCAGCCCCATGGCATATAACTGCTGTGAGTTCAGCATGCACAAATGTGAGGAATTTTGCCATCTGTGTTTTTGGGTCATGCCAGCCCCAGGAAAACAAGCTGTGTTCACATAGCAAGGAAGGAACACCCTCACAAGTATGCCAGGTGACCAGCTAACACGCTTTTGGAGTTCTCAAAACACCTGTATGGAAAGAGTTTAAGTAAAACATGCTTGCTAATGCAGATTAGCAGCTCTTTAGACAGCTCTTTTCCTTGTTTAGGCATGGCTTGAAGCAAAGCCAGGACCTACCACAGAGTGATCTGCTCAGGCATCTGCTGTTCCTGATAGAGTAGTTAGGGCAGAAGAGACACCTAGTCAAGTAGCTATTGTCTGTAAGGGGTAGGGCTGTAAGTGCACTGCTGTACCCTCCATTCTTCCAGTCCATGTGCTGTTTCCCCCACCCCCTGCTACACACACAAACCTTTCAAAGGCCAACACAGACACATCACTACCACACTTTCCAAACATTCTGAAGCACATACCTCCCATTTACTTCAGACCAAAGTTCAAAGTCCTGACCCTAATCTACAAGGCACTTCATGTCCTTGGACCTAGTTACCATATAGTCAATCCTGCCCTGCACAGTCTTCCATGTCAGGTATACTCCATGGGGATGACTCAGAAGAAAGAGGATGGTCTCATGGTTAAGAAATAGCCTGGGCT